GAGGTCTATAATACATCTTATTCGAGACAAATGTGGTTTGAAGTGTGACAAACTACCCACAATTTTGTATGAAGACAATGCAGTATGCATAGCCCAATTGAATGGAGGATTCATAAAGGAGATAGGACAAAGCAAATTTCACCAAAATTATTTTTCACACATAATCTTCAAAAGAATGGTGGTATCAATGTGCAACAGATCCGTTCAAGTGATAATATGGCTGATCTGTTCACCAAATCTCTACCGACGTCAACCTTCAAGAAACTAGTGTACAAGATGGGGATGCGAAGGCTCAAGGATGTAAATTGATGCTCTCATCATGGGGAGTTAATACGCGTTGTACACTTTTTCCCTTATAAAGTTTTGTCCCACTAGGTTTTCCTTGCAAGGTTTTTAACGAGGCAACCAAAAGGCGTATTTCTAAACATGTGTACTCTTTTTCCTTCACTAGGATTTTTTTCCCATAGGGTTTTTTCCTAATAAAGTCTTAACGAGGCACATTATATATGGACATCCAAGGGGGAGTGTTATAAGAAAAATCAAATTATGGTGGATGTCTATTCTTCCTCCATGATATTCTCAAATACTTAATGACATATTCAATGACATATTTTTCTTCACTTTTCATGCATATATAAAGGCCTTGTAATAGATAAGAAAATACACACAATTGAAGAAGAAAATCTCTTCCTTCTCTCTATCTCTATTTCTTGTTTATGTTTTACTAAATTGTTTTTATTTCATAACAACGTGTCTTGTTCATATTTTACTAAATTACTTTTATTTTATACCAGAAACAACCCAACTTTTTCTTTTTGGGTGCCATAACTTTGGTTTGAGGTTAGGTTTTTCCAATCCAGGCTAGAACATGGTGTCAGCCTACTTTTACATTGGAAATACAGATAGACCACCAGGAAGACTTTAGGCGGTGAATATAAACTCCAAGCATATCCAATTAATTAGTTGATACAATTACTTTTTCTTTTGTCCACATTGAATGAATTGTTAATTATATACTCTCTAGTTCATAATAAGTTATTTTTTAGTTTTTGATACACTCCTTAAGAAAATACAAACTCTTAGAAAAAAAATATATTCATTAAATTACTTTTAATTAATTGTTACCTTGACATATTGAGATATGTAAATAAAGGCAAATTTTTGAAAAATAAAATTACTTCCTTCTTGATTATGCAAAAAGATAAGTATTTATTTTGGATCAAAATAAAAAGGTCAAAAAGGTACTTATTATGGACTAGATTGCTCAAGCCAAAGAACACGGTTTCTACTTTCTTACTTTCTTAGAGTCAAATGATTAACATGTTACTTGAGCCGCGTATCAATTTAATATCAGATACATAAATCATTTAGATGGAAAAGTTTGCAGGGAGTTTGTTCTACTCCCTCCGTCTCAAATTATCTATCATAATTATCTTATACACGCCTCTTAAAAAAAATTAATTAGAATAAAATTTTGACTACTTTACCTTTATTCATATCTTAATATTTAATCTTTCTTTATTTATATTTGAACAAAGTTATCCATAATAAAGGTATTTGTAGTCTTCAAGGATAATTATTAGTAAGGGTATCGGATAATTATTAGTAAGGATAAAAGAGAAAAAAAATAATTAATTTTGTTTTGAACTTCTAAAATGACAAATAATTTGAGACAACTATTTTTAGTAACAACGACTGATAATATGAGACGGATGGAGTAATTATCAACTCAAATGCTCCCTCAAGTTTAAGCTAGATCTATTTTCAACAATACTACATAAACTTCTGCACATCTGATCCTTAAGATTAGGAAGAAAAAAAGGTACAATTTTGATCTTTTAATTTTGTTAAGAGTAAGTATATTTGTGTAAATCTTGGAGTTTGGTTGTCTAGTAATATATTCACATTTTATTACCAAATTTTGTCAAGAGTAAGTATATTTGGCCTCATCAACTATTTAAAAGACTCCATTTGTTAAATTTAATGAAAATTGTAAAAAAAAAAATCAAAAACTTCACTAGACAAAATATATCCAAAAAAAAAAAGCAAAAGCTACACTTCTCTAGATAAAAGAAATAAATAAAAAATAGTAAAAACTGTAAAAAAAGCTGCATCTCTAAATATGAAATTTCATTAGATCCTATTTTTTTTACCATTCTCAGTCGATCTAACAACTAGAATGGAAAAATATTTTATGAAAATTAGAAGTGCATATTCTTGGCAAACCAAAACTACTTATAAGGATATTAGAGCAATTACTTTAAACTCGAAAAAAAATCAAAACTGCCCTTGAACTATTAGAGTTGATACAATAATACCCTTCGTCCACCTATTTTAAAATTTGACCCTCACCGTTTTGTTTTCGGCTCAAAACAACCCTGTTTGGTTAAAAAAAACTTTAATTAATTTTCATGTCATCAGTCTCATTGGCCTAAGATAAAATCCACCTAAATTAAAATAAATCCACCCGCATCGAAAACCCATATCCAAAAAACTAAATTTTTAATGCAATTCTCCTTCTACAAGCGTCATCTTCTTCTCAAAACAATGCACCACCTTATCAATCTCTCTCCTCTTCCCNTTCATTTGAATAATCACCACCACCAACATTAAATTTTATTTTCAGACTATCAAATTTTTTAGTCACCAACACTTTACGTCATACAACTTTCACCCGAACGTATAAACACTAACATAGAGTCGACGGTGATGGTCATTGAGCATTTGCAATATTTTTTAGCGTATATTTCCTGAACATCCGGTCAGATTCATAAATTAAGCTGTAGTACGAGGATGCTCATCAGGCTATATCAGCACCGCCAATTTCAAGAAAGAGACGGCAAAATCAAGAGGAATATTTGAGAGCCTATGTCTAAGAATATGAGAGAATACGGCTTATTGGAGAAGGTGACTATAACAAACACTTCGTTGACTTTACTGTAAAAAATAGTGAAGTGTAGTAAGAAAAAATTGATGATGAATGATATTTCTGTGATGGAAAAAAATAAGAGTGTCGATGTATATATTTAGTGGAGGAAGAAATAGGAAGAAGAAGGTGATGAACTGTAAGAGTTTTGTTTGCTTAAAAAATGGGTGTGCGAGAGTTGTTGGAGTATTTTTGAAAAGAAAGAGGAGACAGAAATGGAGACAAGTGAGACTTGCTCTAAAAGCACCTCCACCTCCACCTCCGACCGGGTTCGAGTCGTAGATCCTGGAGAGTTTAAAAAAAAAAAAGAAATGGAATAGGACGATGACGTAGAAATTAATTAATATTTTTTTTAATTAAACAGCGCTGTTAGTCATAGGGTAGTATTTTTGTTTAAACTTATCCTAAACAATATTAGGGATTATTTTTGTATTTTTCTCCACAAATTTGAGTATTTCATATTACACCTCTGAGTCTGACTGACTGAAATATTCTCGTCTTCTCCGTCTAAATATTTTGTTACCCTTTAGATAAAAAAACGCAAGCTAGATCAATCATTCCACTACTACTTTTATCCCAAATGCAGAAAGAATAGAACTGAAACAGATTCTATAAACATCATTTATTTACGCACAACTTGAATCAATTGAATCAACACAGAAACCCTATCTAGATGAAACAGGAACCTCAAAGAACAACAACATGATGCCACTGAAGAACACCAATTCATCCTGCAGTATCCCTTCTCTCTTCATCTCTCTCTCTATACTCTGCATTTTACCACTTTCCCTCTTCTTTTTCCACTCTTCCCCAACCCCAATAAACCCAAATTTCAACTTTCAAGAATCTCATAATTCCATCAAAGTTTATATAGCAGATCTTCCAAGATCCCTCAACTATGGATTACTTGAAAAGTACTGGTCTTTAGATTCAGATTCAAGAATTGGGAGTGAAGTAGACAATGAAATAAGAAAGACCCATACGGGCAAAAGTTCTCAAAATTTACTTCCTTATCCAGAAAACCCAATAATCAAACAGTACAGTGCTGAGTATTGGATCTTGGGTGATTTGATGACGCCAGAAAAGTTAAAGATTGGATCTTTCGCTAAAAGGGTGTTTAGTGCTGAGGAAGCTGATGTGATTTTTGTTCCTTTTTTTGCAACATTGAGTGCTGAGATGCAGCTGATTGTAAATAAGGGTGTGTTTAGAAAGAAGGAGAGGAATGAGGATTATGAGAGACAAAGAATGGTTTTGGATTTTGTGAAGCAAACTGAAGCTTGGAAACGATCTGGTGGACGTGATCATGTGTTTGTTATTACTGGTAAGTGCTGGAATTCACAGCTTTTTATGCATAGTTGTATGTAATTGTCTCCAATTTTTCAGCTGCTGTTGATGTAAGTCAATTTTTGGTTCATGACATTTTAGCAATTTACACTGTATGTAGGTCTTTTCCATGGGACAAGTTAGTAATTAGCTACCTAACCTGCTATCCGATTGTTTAGTATGCTGCTTCTGTAGAGATGATGCATAAATGTTCTTGAGGAAATATGAAGTTATAATTCTTTTCTAAATTTGGAGATGATTTGAGAGTCTCAAAAAATAGAAAGCTGAGTTGGATTGGAGGAGACAAAATGCTACTAAAATGTAAAACAAGAATGACTGCAATTTTGATAAGGAAATTTTGAGTTTGCTATTGTACTATTTCTAGTATTGCGGATTGCAATTAACAATTTGGTAGGGAATTTGTGAGTCATGATAACTATGCCCTGGAGTCTGTTGATCTTTCTAGTTATTGTTTATTGCGCATTGGTGCTTGAGAGATTGGATAATTGGTGTTTTGGATGAAGCTTGTATAGTTCTTTCTTTATGATGTGTATTAGAGACTATTGGGTGCCACCAGTGCCTTTTGCAATAGATGGTATTGAGATAGAATTTGATCTTTTTGCAGTTAGGGTAACCATTTGTTTAGAGAGGTTCCATTCTTCTATATGTGCTAACTTTTGGTTTTAGTAACTTCCGAAGTGTGGAAGTAATCTGCATATGAAGTCAGGTATTTTTTTTTCCTGAAATAAAAGAAGGAACTGAGCCAGTTAGGTTTTCTTGATATTCTTTTGTAAATGCTCTTCAAAATAGCAAGAAATAGGTGAATATCGTGCTTAGTCTTTCAGGATGCAGCTCAGCTTCAACTGAACTGCAGCAATCATCAATCTGATTTAAGTTGTGCTTGAACTTTTAGGCTTTAGCTTAGCTTCAATTGATAGACATGTCAGGCTGCAGCCGTGAGATTTAATCCATAGATTCTCACATGATACTTACTTTGGCTTTATTTCAATAATCGTGGTGTCCGGACCAGCTTGCGCACACCTCGACTATTCCACGGGTTACCTGCTACCTCCCACCAACACAGTTACCGACTCTATCCACCAAGGCTTTGACAGAAGAGAAGAATTCGCGTAGTGTTTTTGCCTCCGCTAGGAATTGAGCCTGAGATCCCATGGCTCTCAAAAAGAAACAAATGTTGGCTGTTGTGCACTGTTTGCATGTAATTGTGTTCTATATTTACTCGTGCTACTATCTTATCAAACAGTCACTGAAAAAGAATGCTAAAAGTTACTGAGTTCTTATGCTTGCCGGATCCAACTTGGACTCTGGTATCTTGCAAAACAACTTAGAATGTTGTATAAAATCATCCTGATAGGGGCACTTCTGATTATAATAGAGCCTGCATTTTTTATCAGTCTACATCACAGAAAGCTTGTGGTTTAAGCGAGCTGTCTGATTTTAGGTTTTGGTTTCTTATTTTTTATTGGGGAGCTGCTGACTTACAAAATATATGCCAAGTAGTAACTACGAGCCTAAAAGAGTTTAATTAGATTCAGTAACAATTCTTCGATTTGTCAAATATGTACTTATTGAAAGTGCTTATGCTTGAATCTTTTGAAGCAAACATAATAAGCAGGGCTGAGTTGGACTGCTTGGAGACCTTCTTAGGGGCACGGGGATTTGTTTGGGTGTGAAAAGTGATGTATTGACTTAGGTAGAGAAGGTCTTGCCCTGCTTATCTTTTGCATAATTGAGCAATGCTCCTAAGGGAGATTCTTCAGTTGCATCTGAGTTAATTCTTCATGACATATCTGGTGAAGTGCACTAATATTTTGATGGTATTTTGTTTGAGTGATCTGCATCTTGCTATTTCACTTAAAATAGTCTCCTTTCCTTTTCCACCCATATTATTTAGTCCAATGCAGTTGTGATCAAATAAATTATACTGCACACATTTTTCATCGCTGATCCTCTGCTCCACCTTGAATTTGACACGATATGCTGTTTTATTCAGTTGCTTTGTCTGTTTATCATGTGTAGTTATGTAACTGATTCTAAAACTCATGTCTGACCATGAACTATTGTAGCAAATAATCCCGAGTTCCAATTTGTAAAATCGTCTCGCCAGCCTGCTTTTCTATTGACTGTGTAATTGTTCTTTCCCAATTATGTTCTGCCTGAAAAAAAAAGAGGGAAGTGGAACATCTTAGAATCTTATAATTTAGTCTCTGCAATGTCAGGTTATTTTACAACTTGAAGCATTCTTTGGCAGACCCTGTTGCAATGTGGCATGTGAAGGCTGAGGTTGCTTCAGCAGTTCTTCTGGTGGTAGATTTTGGTGGGTGGTACAAGCTTGACTCAAAAGCGTCTAATGAGAGTTCATCTGACATGATACATCACACCCAAGTTTCGTTGCTGAAGGATGTAATCGTGCCTTATACGCACCTACTTCCTCGTTTGCCCTTATCTGAAAACAAGAAACGGGAAACCCTTCTCTATTTCAAAGGAGCTAAACATAGGCATCGGGTCAGTATTATTAACTTTTTCCAGAACTCTAGCTAAATATAATCTGCTACCTGCTTCTAACAATATTGCCTGTGTACGATCTGTCAAGTCAACTATTTTATGAATAACTTTATATCCAATTTAAATACCTTGAAAAGTTTGGATTTCAAACTTTGGGGAATGACTTCACCAAGGGAACATTTTTAAAGCTTGGGAGAAAACTAGGAGCTTGAATTATACCAATGCCCGGTAGAAGACAGGTTGTTTGAACCCAAGGGTATGGCCTAATAGTCAACAAAGTAGGTGAAAATCATGGGAGACGAAGGTTCAAATTCCATTTGAGACAAAAAACACTAGATGATTTCTTCGCATTTGCTTAAGCCGTGGTGGGAGCTAGCAGGCATCAGGTAGAATAATTGAAGTGTGCGCAAACTGATCTGGATGCTACCGTTATCAAAAAGAAAGGGAGAAAAAAAGAAAAACAAGGTGTTTGAATTATACCATGGTGCTGTTTCTTAGTCTCTTAATAAATAACAATGCAAAATTTTTGGTCACTTAAAGATGTCGTCGTGCCGTGTAGCTATTTACTGCCTCTTTTGCCCTTATATTACAGACAAACAGAAAAAAAAAACTTTCTTTGCTTCAGGGGAAATAAATATATGCATTGGTAGTATTATTGAGCTCTCCGGGACGTCCATATGAATATAGTCTGCTTCCTGCTTGCAATCATACTGGGTGAATGATCTATTTTACTTGTGAGCTTCTTCACAAGATATGACTGGAACTCCTTTTGATCACAATGCAGATGGTATGGACTATTCTGTCATCAGATTTTGGCCTACTGTAAATGAACTTGCTCTGTTTCCAGAAACTTTTCTGAATACAATTAAGTACTAATTGATTGGAAAAATCATTGTTAGGGTGAAGCATAAAAAGGACTTACACAATTCTGTTGTATGCTGTGCTTGACCACACGTGCAACGTTGTCTTGGCTTTTTTGCCTGTCAAAGTGCCTACATTAGACGATAACATCGCTCTTCTTGCTCGCTAGTTTTAGGTCATTAAGTATTTTTCTGTGTGCAGGGAGGCATCGTTCGAGAAAAGCTTTGGGACTTGCTAATAAATGAACCCGGGGTGGTGATGGAGGAAGGCTTTCCAAATGCCACTGGGAAGGAGCAGTCTATAAAGGGTATGAGGACTTCAGAGTTCTGCTTGCACCCGGCAGGGGACACACCAACCTCGTGCCGACTGTTTGATGCCATTCAAAGTCTTTGTATTCCCGTCATTGTTAGTGACATCATTGAGCTCCCATTTGAAGGGATGGTGGATTATTCAGAATTTTCGCTGTTTGTAGCAGTTAGTGATGCACTTCGGCCAAGTTGGCTCGTGAACCATCTTAGGAGCTACTCTGACGAGCAAAAGGATAAGTTTCGACGTAAAATGGCTCAGGTGCAGCCCATTTTCGAGTATGAAAATGGTCAACTGGGTGGAATTGGTCCTATACATCCAAATGGTGCTATAAATTACATATGGAGAAAGGTTCACCAGAAACTGCCCATGATTAAAGAGGTTATTATCCGCGAGAAGAGGAAACCTCCCGGTGTCTCAGTTCCACTTCGTTGCCATTGTGCTTGATAAGATTTTTTATTCTTTTATTCTTTTCTTCAAAAGGTAATTATACATCATACATGCTTCATATCACAAGAAGGAAATAGTCTAGATTTCCTTTAAGGTCTTTTTCCTACAAGTCTTTAGCCCAAAAAAAGGGGTTCATAGTACACACTAATAATCATTGTTTTGCAAAACGTTTTTGTTTAGCTAAGCAAATCCGCCAGTTCCTAAAAATATGTAGTAAGGGCGGGGCTATTCAAGCTGTCCATGAGATGAAATGTGCTGAGTATATGTGATTAATGAAGCTATGAATTTGTCTTGAATGTATGTTCATTGAATGAGGCTGTTGTCAATTGCAGCTTTCAACTCAGCATAACTTCCATTCCCCATTACAGCTTCTGATAACATTGTTAAGATCAATTAACAATCTTCCCAATTAGTGATTCCAGCAAGAAAAATTGCTTTGCTGTTTGTTAGATTTTGATTTTCTATTATCCAAAACAATACATCTAAGTCCCAAACAAGTAAAAGGAAAAAACTAGTGGCTTTTCAAACAGTAAATGCAAAACGTGATGGGAAATTTCTTTTATATCAAGGTGAAAGTTACATCAAGAAGGAGGGGGAGGGTTAGTAAAACAATGTTTTTGCAAATATGTAAAGTAGAATAATAGGAAATCCGTGAAAATTGAAACGTGATCCCATACTTTTTAACAACTATTTTTTTGCGTTTACCCCACAACCTTGTTTTAGGGAAGAGAGGCTAGTCCAATTTCAACTCAAACATAGCCAAGTGTCCCTTTGTTTTCATCGGATATATGGGCATCATCTTTTCCTCTCCATGTATTAACTTCTGATATTAGACAGAAAAGGGGGTGCTTTCTTTCTTTGATTTCTATGAAGAAAACATCAATTTCCTACAAAGAGGTATGCATCTAGCAGAAAATGGGAAAGCTTCCCGCCCTTCTCCTTTAATTAGCCCTATGTGGCGCACATCTGAATTAGTCAAGCCGGTGATACCAGATGATTATACCAACAAATAAAAAATGAAAACGGGGAAATGCTTGATTTCATGATCTCCGCCAAGCCATACACTAGAGAGGTATTCCTTTTATTTTCTTTCTGTAAAATTTAGAGGCTTTACTATGTATGTGTGCATGTATATGCTTGTAAATACACACACATATATACATATCCATACACAGACACATGTTTGTATGCTTGCATTTGTGTGCTTTTATAATCATTGCTTTGGCTTTCCTACGTTTGTTATTTGATCTTTGTCGCTAATGCCCATGCCAAAATAACACATGCACAAAGAGACAGAATACAGATAAATAAACAAAATATTTAAAGGAATAATCCTAGAGCATTGCAAAATATTCATATCAGAGAGAGAATGAGCAAAGAGAAGCGACTGGAAATTTAGCAACTCAGGAAAGATCAGAAAACAATGTATTATCTTCTTACAGCAAATACTATAAAAGCTAGTGCAGCTGTAACTGTTCCAAAGGATGCCTTTTTTTACAATTACTCAGCAGACTTACTATATTCAACCTAAAATGACCTTAAAAGAATCAAGAATGAAACCATCCCCATAAACTTGCTATAAAAAATCGCAGAAATGAGAGGGGGTATAATATATACCTAGGTGCTAGGACAAGGAGCATCCTAGCAGCTATGTACAGAAATTAATGGCTGGATAATATATGTAGTAGCTACTATGGTAAGAAAATGAAACCACCAAAAAGAAAAAAAATAGAAATCAGGTAATAGTATCGTTTTGGTTTCCATGAGCAGTTGATTGGTGCTCATGTCTGTGCTCCTCTTGACCTTTAGACTTAGCATCTTCATTACTACCAGCTATGCCACAAAGTACGGAAAGATTTGAAGGTCTTTGGGAGCACCAATTTTCCGGAACACTTAGGAAATGTGTGTCGATAAACTTTCTAAATCTCTTTTTATACTCCCTTGGGGAGATGACAGTAGGAAGCTGATTCTTCGGAACCACAAGCGAGGATTTGACCCAATTCTCAAGTTGTTTGTCCCATGTGTACTGCCTGAGATAGTCAATGATGCCACAAACAAGTTCGCGTCGCTCAGTATCCACTCCAACAAGTAAAGAATAGTCCATCACATTGACTGACTGTTATTCAGAAAATGATACCAGTTTAGAAGCTAAACCATACAATTGCAACAACACATTGTTTATCATAAGCAGAAGTCACATGCCTTTTAGCACAATTATGATTTGGTAAATATGGGCTACAGGTAATTTATTAGTAGGATGTCATGCAAAACTTACATTGAGGAAGCCACAGTCATTCCACACGGCTCGTTGCAAATGCCTCTTTGATCTCATTCCAACATATAAAGGAGAGATGTTCATGTCATTCACAAAATTTTGGTCCAAAAGAACATCTCCTGCAGTATTGCCAGCTGAATTAAATCGAGCATGCAGAACTCCTTTTAGATCATATTGCCTAGTAATATTTCTTCCAAATGAAAGGTTCTCCATCACCATGACATCATGTCTTGTCTCTTTCCCACTTTTTGTTGGCCTTACTATGACCTGCAAAACACAAAAACTGAGACAAAAATGCAACAGGAGCATGTGCACTGTGCTGGCAAGTAGAAAATCAGTTCTATTCTAATAGCCAGAAAATGAAGTTTGTAGCTGATTAACAAACCTGATAAATGCCAAGAACTTTTGCAAGGCAGGTTTGATTGCCCTTCTCGTAGCATTGTTCCATGTACTCAAAATAACTACGACCAAACTTCAAGAACGAGTCAAATTCTGTTCTCAAGATTTCTTTGATGATAAACCGGTCATCGAGAGTTTTGGCAAACAAGGATTTACTTTTCCCACCTTTCGCATCCCACTTCCTACACCTACTTAGAGAAGCAATATAATCAACTTCAGATGGGCAACATCGACCTCGCAAACGAGAAAAATGGCTAGCATAGAGACACATAACTGAGTATTTATGCTTCCCAGGCAATTTTCCCGAACCAAAGGAGATTTCCGGATGAACAGCAGCAGAATTTAACATATCTAACCCATCTAAACTAGATGAGCGTGTTTGTTCTGAAACTTGGGAAGACTGAATCCCCTCTAAATCTAAAGAACTAGTTGAGGAGAAATGAGGAGAAGTCAGTGAGAATAATCGCATTAAGCTTTTCGAACTCTCATATGCATTACCATCCATTCCTCCATCTTTCCTTCCATCATCTCCAAGATCTTCACACACAATTGGCAAATCCCTCAGCCTTGCTAAAGCACAAGCGATGATGCTTGAAACTTCATCTTCATAATCAGACAAAACGTACTTCTCACTTCCAATGGGAATGTGCAACTTTGCACCCTCATCAGTAACAAGTTTGTAAGCTGTAGTTTCTACCGCATGGGTTGTGATGGATCCCAACTTTAGCGGGTAACCTCTCTGCAGATCCTTCACGTATTCACGCCGAATTTCAGGGAATGGAGCCCACCACCCTTTATCATTCTCAATATTGTCCAATTGAGGATCCATAGAATCTCTGCCAGTCCTCCCATCAACACTAGAAAGACTTAGTTTTTCATCACCAGAATGTGAACAATTAGTGGGTGAAGGAAGATTCGATTGTAGATTATTTTCGTCGCCAGAATGTGAACAATTAGATTTCTCTGCAGGATCCTCGACAGATAATCCATTTGCAGTTATTTTTGCTGCAGCAGATAACTCAGTAACTTCAGCAAAAGCAGATGAAATTGATGATGCGCTTTCTTCTCTAAATCCACTAAGATTAGCATCAATAGGAATTTCTGCAATGAGAGAACCATTTGCTTCGGCAGATACCAGGTTCAATTTCAGATCACAATTATGGTTCAAAAATTCACAACTTTCTTCAATGGTTTCTGTCCCATTGTTTTCCTCTGCAGAAGAATCCTCAGTGAACTCAATATTCAGATCATGAGAATCGTCCAAAGTTATGTCACCTCTTCCCAGATTAGCTACTGCCTCATTAGTATCTCCTTCAACACTGCACTTTACTTGTTGCTCTTTGTGGCTAATAGGTTCAATATCTGGCACTGTGGATTGCTTCGGGTTAATGCCTTTGGGATCACCATCCGTATAATAAGAAGATAGCAATGAATGAAGACGGCGATCCCACACACACGCCTCAAGCAGAAGATCCAGTCGTATTCTGTTCGAGCTTAGAAATTTATAAACCACAACATCCTGACTCCCATTCTTAACTACATTTTGTACGTCAACCTGAAATTGATTCCATATATGAGAAAAAGAAAAATAAGTTTCTGAAATTGAAACTGAGACTCAATTATGATGGATAAATCCACCATGGTTGATCAAATTAAATCCTAGAACAGCAGCAAAAGGGAACTAATCACTATGGCAATGCCTCAATCCAACATGGTTCATCCAATAAATTACTATAAAAATAAGTAAAATCCTAGAATGTAGCAGAAAGGATCTAACCTCAAACTGAGATCTCTCTTCCTTCAACATGTTTTCAATTTCAGAAAAATCCTTAATTGATCCTTGAAGATTTAGCACTGTTCCAAGACGAGACTTTACTGCCTTCAGAGCTTTTTCTACATCAAGAAACATCATAATCCCTTTCATGTGCACCTAGTTTAAGAAAGAAAGGAAATCCTAGGTCAATTTAAACAATACCACATGCAGATTCCACGTTCAGCCAAATATACAAAAGCATACAAAAGCATGGGTACATAAAAACAGGATCCCACAATCATAAGAGCACATACATCATCAAAGTCCTGCTTAAGAAATTCTCCTTTAACGGAACTGCTAAATTCCAGCTCCTTGGGAGGAAGAAACACGGAATAAGTAGTTACAGTAGAGTACTTGAACATAGCAACCATTCGCCCTAACCTGCACATGTTTACAGATGACATGAATATCTTCAGAGAGGACAGATGAAATACGAGAAAAATCCTCTCATGAATCAACATGGCTATTTATCTCATAAGACAGATCTGACGATCAATACGAAAAAAATGATGTCAGATCAAAGGGAAAAGGGGGGGGGGATAGAAGCTTCTGATGGATAGATAGCCACTGGATACAAATGTATAAATATAACAAACTACTACTTCACAAAGAAAGGAGAATGGAACTATGTTAAGTAGTCATACCCAAAGAAGTAGAGGAAATCCTTATCAAAGGAGTGACCACAGGGAGACAGTCTACTAAAAAAAGAGGAATTTGAGAAACTGAGCTCCAAAAACTTTCCAAAAGAAAAACCACGTGAGCAAGTGGATATTAACACTCTTTTTGTGGATAATGAGCTTCCACTCTGGGATTTGCATTTACAGCAA